CTGGCGACTCCAAAGTCAACACCTGCTACCCGCTGAGTTCAGCGACTGGAGTTGTGACTTGAGAATTCACTCAACTTTTCATAGTCCGTCTGCATGTAAGTCCTAAGGTACAAATTAAAGGGCACATGGCGGGGGGGGGGGCGGTGTGTGGCTGTCATACTGCGTACCTGTGATCAAAAGAAGGCTAGCAATGGTTCTGGTCTTCTCTACCGGCCCCGGGGATCGAACTCCAGATTGACAGGCTTGGCAACAGGCCTCCTTAACCGCTGAGCCATCTCGTTTTGTTATACCCTCGAGGCCCTTAAGAAAGCAGCTTGTGGGTCTGGGAAGATGACTCACCAGTTATGAGCCTTTCTGCTCTTCCAGGTCACCGGTTTTTTTCTTTTTCTTTCTTTCTTTCTTTTTTTTTTTTTTGCACCCAGCTTATAAGCACCTGTAATTACATCTTTAGGAGATCCGTTGCCCTCTCTGGACGCCAGGGACACTCATACACATGTGGCGCACACACGTACACAAAGATAAAATAAATATTTTTTAAAAAAATAATGTAGCGTGCAAAAACTCGCACATACTACAAACGTAGTGCTGTTTACTGATACAGGGGAATTCGGAGATAGAGACTAGCCTGGGCTACAAAGCGAGATCCTGCCTAACAAAACCAAAGAAACCAAAGAAGTATGGATATGGAGGCGCCTGCCAGCAATCAAGCACTTGGGAGGCGGAGACAGAATTGTTTTGAGTTTGAGGCTAGTCTGGGATACAGTATGAGACCCTGTCTCAAAAAAAAAAAAAAAAAAAAAAAAAAAAAAAAAAAAAAAAAAAAAAAAAAACCAAAAAAAAAAAAAAAAAAACAAAGCAAGCGAACATAAAGGCTGTGTGCGCAGAGCTCAGTTGCTTGCCTGGTGGTTCCACCCCAGAATTGAAAAATAATAGATAATTTCTTTTTACTTATTTTTTTTTTTTTGTAATTGTCTTATAGCTGATTTTCCCCGCTCCACACCCTTGGGACTAAGGCTCGCAGAGGGTGGATCAGGGTAAACGTCTTCGCGACGTCCTAGACACTCGAAGGGACTGTGTTGAATGAATGGCTCGTTAGCGGACTGCTTGCTCTCGGCACGCAGAGCTCAGAGTGGATATTGGGGCGGGCAAAGGCAAGGGCTCCGCCCCGGAAGGCGGGGGCGGGGCGGGGCCCCAGCCCTGAGTCTTGGCCCGCGGATAGTGGGAAACAGACTGCTGTTGCAGCGGGACCGGCAATCATGGCTCCGGGTTGGCCGCGGCCTCTGCTGCAGATCCTCGTGTTGGGACTCGGGTTGGTTCTGATACGCGCCGCGGCCGGGGAACAAGCACCAGGTATGCTTGGCTCAGAGGACGGTGAACCTCGGACTTTGGGGCGGTCAGGAATGGAATTTGAGTGCCTGGAGATCTGAGTGGAACCGGGTAGACATGGGGTTCTGGGATCCATGGTCTTTAGGTAGTGTGTTTCAAGTGGGGAAGATCTCAATCCACTCCAATCTTTATCCACAATCCGAGTCTCAGATTCGCTACCTGTCCAATCAGGTGCGGGGTCTTCTGTCTCAAAAGTTCGAGCCAGAGTAGAGAGAGAAAGTAAACTTTGAGGGAAGGACGTTTGTTTTGTGAAGTGGGCATGCCCTCACCCCGGTCTGTGATGGAATCTGACCAGTCCCGATAGCTAAGAATCACGAAGGGGTACTGGGGTCTTTGCCCTCTATACCATGTGGGGGTGCCCCTTCCATCCGGTGACTTCAATGCCCAGTTATGCGGGAGGAGGGACTGGGGTCGGGCCCAGTGCCCAGGAGTGAGTCACACTGGCGGTGGGGGGGAGGATATCACCCCCCCCCCCCCAGTCGCGCGCTACCGGACCCCCTCCCGCACTGCCGTGTCTTGGTCAGGCGGTGCGGTCACCTGTGAGGAATGCGGGGGTGTGGGGGGGCGATGGTGACTCACGTTATTTGAGCCGACTGACCCTGACCTCAGCCCCCAGAATAGCCGCGCCCAGCCGCCAGCTTCTGACTTGCAGCCCCCTCCCCAGGCACCGCCCCATGCTCTAGCGGCAGCTCCTGGAGCGCGGATCTCGACAAGTGTATGGACTGCGCTTCATGTCCATCGCGACCGCACAGCGACTTCTGCTTGGGATGTGAGTGGGGGCGGGGCCGGTGGCAAGCGGATCCTAGAAGTGGGTAGAGGGTTGCTGGGGCGTCGAAAAGGACCTCGGAAGTCAGGGAAGACTGACGGGGAAGGGGCTTCTATCAGGTAGGGGAACACTGTGTGGGACAAAGCTTGAGACTCCCTTGAGGGCGGACTGGCTTCCCAAGGGCAAGATCTGATTTGAGTCCTGGCCACTAGGCGCAGCGGCACCTCCCGCTCCCTTCAGGCTGCTCTGGCCCATTTTGGGAGGCGCTCTTAGTCTGGCCTTGGTTTTGGCGCTGCTTTCTGGTTTCCTGGTCTGGAGACGGTGCCGACGGAGAGAAAAGTTTACTAGTAAGTGACCTCCCCACCCTCACTCCTCCCACCTCCCCCATCACTTCCCTAAATGTCCCCTAATCATGACAACCCCACTTCTTATCTTCCAGCCCCCATAGAGGAGACTGGTGGAGAGGGCTGCCCAGGTGTGGCACTGATCCAGTGAGGAGCACTCGCGCTGGGTCCCACTCTTCGTCCGTTCATTCATTCTGGAGCCAGTCTGGCCTTCCAGACACAACCCTAGCCAGACTCTTCCAACCACAAGGGGGTGGGGTGAGGTGGTGATTCACCTCCAAAGACTGGGCTTAGGGCTCAGGGGAGTCTTCCAAGGTGTCTAGATTGCCCTGTCTCTGGTTCCAGGGCAGAGAGCCGTAAGCTGGGTCACAAAGCGACACAATACTAAGGAACTGCAGCATTTGCACAAGGGGGTCTTTTGCTCTCCCCAAGTCCTGGAGGCCTGACTGACTTGAGGGACAGACACACTAGGTCCCACCCACTCCGATGGGCTAAAATTCAACTAACACTGAGTTTCAGCCCTGGAAGTGGGTCAGATTTAAGGACCTGTTCCTAACACTAAGGAGGCTGGCCCTCTGGGAGGGCTGGCCCTAACACAAACACACACACAACCCATCCCCTAAAAGGGGGGGGGAATATTTATTTTGGGGATAAAGTTTGGTGGGGAGGGAGAATTTATTAATAAAAGAATCTTTAACTTTAAATGGTTTGGAATATGGCCTGATCCCTAGCTTGACTCCCCAGAACTGGAGGAAGGGAGGGAGTCAGTCGGCCACTGCGGGGGCGGGGGGGTGAGGCTCTGACTCACACATTCTCAATGCCTGGAGCCCGGCCTGCCAGGACCTGGCTTGCCCTCACCGTTTTCCAGGGAAGATTTTGAGGAGGAAACCCCAGCATCCAGCACTCCACCCTCCACAAAGGCTGTTGAGAAACCTTCAACTGCTCAGAAATCTTTATTCTCTAAATAGGGTGACACTTTCCCCTTCCCAAGCTGCTGCCCCTCCCATTTAGGGTTTCTCTGAGTTCAGTATCATCTCTCCTGTTACAGGGGGAAGGATCTCTTCCTTCTGGGGGAGTTGGGGGGTGGTTGCTGGTCTTTGTTGTCCGGGAACAAGGTGGGGAGGGACACTGGCCGTCAGCACTTAGAGCTCCATGATGTCCCCAGATGGGGATGCAGGGTAGAAGGGACTGGGGGTATCCCCCAGCCTCAGTAGCCTGAGGGCCTCAGGGATCAGGCTCCCAGGATAGCGCCACAGAAGCAGCTCTGGGCAAGAGCTCCTGAAAGAAGAAAAAAAGACAGTGAAACTATGGGGCAGAGGCTGGCCTGGCAGAGCCACCTCCTACCAGGTCCAGGTCCCCTGGAGCCAAAGATGGAAAACAGCACAGAAGTTGGCTAGAAGCTAAAAATAGCGGGATGAGGCAGGGTATGAGGAGGGGCCCTGACGACTGCACGGGATCCTCTAGAAGGCCCCGCAAGGGGAGGTGCCTACCTGAGTGGTGGCAGGACCTGGGGGAAAGTCACAGGGGGACTGCAGTAGGGGTGGTCATTATGTAGGCTGAGTCGAGAGAAGTGGGTGGCCATGTTCTCCTCGGAAAGAAACTGCTTGTGCAAGGGCTCCCTGGGGAAAGACCAGAGAGGAACAGAGCAGGGATGTTGAGGGTGGAGGCAAACTGATGAGGAGGGCCAAAGGTGACATCTCAGGGGACCCATCTGCCCCCAAACTTAAAGCTCCTTCTCCAGGGGTCTCCGTGCTCATGGGCACAGCTCCAAGGAGAGGGGAGCCGGGAAACCGAGCCAGGTGTAGCCCACTCTCTTGGCCCCTTCCCGAAGATCTGCCCTCCTGAGCTTGCAAAGTAAGCCAGGATTCCAGAATCAGTCTGGTCTGTGTGGCCTAAGCCACCTTCCTCTCCCAGGCCGTCATCCACCAGGCTACCTCGGAAATTCAGACCGTGGCTTCCCAGCTCCAACACAAGCTCGAGCACCACGGTTTCCTGCATCACCTCGCCTCACTTCCCAGGATCACCCTGACCGGCCCTGGGTCCCCAGCAAAAGCTCTTGCCCTCCGTTAGTCCGGCCCACCCAGGGACTGCTTACGCACCTGGCGTCCAGGCCGCGAGCCACCCCAGTGGTGGCCCGTGGGTCCCGACTTGGGGGGCCTCGCTCCAGGGGCTGTTGTAGGATCATTACGTTTCAGGGTCCTGCAGATAGAGGGGTGGGATCCAGGCAGCAGAGGCGGAGCCTGTGAGGGCGTGGTACAGCGCGAGGGGCGGGGCCACCGGCGTGCGCACCGAAGACGTACGACGCAGGCGTGGAAGGCGAGCAGCGCGAGGTTAGAAGGCGGGACGGGCCGGCGGGATGGGGGAGGGGATCCGGCGGTAGCTGGACAGTCCCAGACGTTATTTAGCGTAAGGGTACTTCGCGGAGCTCTCCCAGGTTTCGGTGGTTCGAGACCATACGGGCCTGCCGCCTTAGTTGTTGAACGGCAGGCAGTGCCAGGTCCTGGGGCGCAACGAGAAGAGCCACTCTCAGGCACGTAGGGATTCGAAAGGTTCTGTCGAGCGTCGCGAGGTTGTGTCGCGCGTAGAGCCCTCTGGGAGTTGTAGTTCCGAAGATGGAGCACGCCGCACCGTCCCCGGTGCCTCTGGGTCAGGTGAGTCGAGTGTGCGCACAGTGCCTTCTGGGGTTTGTAGTCTTGCCCTCACCGGGTAGCCAAGGAATACTCCAGGATGCCCAGTGTAGGTAGGTGGTTTGTGGAACTCGGACTCTGACCCACAAAATAGTGATCCCCGATCTTTGGGATCTAGTAGGGAGAGTCATAGAGATTAGATGTCAGTACATTTTACACTATACAAAAAAATTTACACTTTAAAAAAATTTAGCACCATTGGATGTGGTGCCTCACACGTTTAATCCCAGCACAGGGGAGGCAGAGGCAGGCGGATCTCTGAGTTAGGAATTAACCTGCTGCACAGAGAGTTCCCGGTTATCCAGGGCTACATAGTGAGACCCTGTCTTAAAAGAAAAAGTCATCATTCATGAGCCTTTTTTTTTTTTTTTAAACCCAGGGCCTTGGGCATGGTAAGAACATGCTCCATTGTTTAGTTACACTCCAGCCCAAGACCTGCTTATAGTTTGTGAGATAGTCTTATGTATCTCCAGCTTTCTTTGAACTTTCCTATATAATGGAGAATGATCTTGTTCCTCCCGCCTTTATCTCCCGAGTCTTATGGGCTAGCGGGTGTGCCCTAATGCCCAATATATACAGTGCTGGTGCTCAAACACGGGACTTTGGGAAAGAATGGGCTTTAGCGGTTGGAGAGATAGGAGAGGACCCAAGTTTGGTTCCCAGCACTCAAGTTCCAAAGCTTGTAATTGCTTATATCTCCAGCTCCAGGGGATTTGAGTCCTCTGGCCTCTGTGGACACCTGTACTCTCTTGCACACACTCCCTTCACACACATATGCACATAATTAAAATAAATCTTTAAAAAGAGCACGAACTGGGGGTGGCAGTGCATCCCTTTAATCCCAGAACTTGGGCGGCAGAGAGAGGCAGATGGATTTCTTGAGTTCAAGGCCAGCCTGGCTGGTCTACAGAGTGAGTTTCAGGACAGCCAGGACTACACAGAGAAGCCCTGTTTCCCCACACACACCCCCAAAACAAAAACAAAGAGAAGAGAGAGCATGGTCTACCAATTGAGTAGTTACCTTCAGCTTCAAGGGCCACTTTATCTTTTTCTTTTGGATCGGGCTGGACTGGAACTCAGAGATCCGCCTGCCTCTTCCTCTCAAGTGCTGGGATTAAAGGCATGCGCCACCACACTAAGCCCACTTATTTTCTTGTAAGATTTATTCATTGTTTTATGTCTATAAGTGTTTTGCCTACATGTTGTATATGTGCTATGTGTGCTTATGGTATTCTCAGAGGCCAGAAGAGGCGTCACAGGGGGCCGGAGAGATGGCCAAGTGGTTAAAAGCACTTGCTGCTCTTCCAGAGGTATCAAGTTCAGTTCCCAACACCCATATAGGAGTAGGTTTACAAATGCCTGTAATCCAGTAGGCCAGCTTGATCTACATAGTGAGTTCTAGGAAAAAGAGGATGCGTGGGATAATAGGTAATTTAGTGTGAACTTAGTCACACTAATAATAATAATAATAATAGTGAGTAATAAATTGTGACCTATTATGGACAATTCACACTAGTATAATTTCTTGTATATTGATACAAGTTCAAATTATATTTGTTATTTCTGTTTACAATATTTGTACACCTATGCAAAGTTATTTTGTCATATTGTATGCATGCATGTTTCTACCTCTAAGACATTTTGTATATTGATACAATTTTAGGATATATTTATCATATTGCATTATATATTTCTACCTCTGATCAAGATATTTATACATTGATACATTGTTTACATTTTGATGTCATTGTCCTGTTTTACTGCACAGTTGTTTAAAGATTGTTTAATATTCTGATATGAAGTCTTAATCTTTAAGTTATATAGGTATTAAGTATTATAGGTCAATAGTCATTCATATTTGTTAGTCAGACTAATTAGGCTCTTTAGATACAGACAGATTGTATTCTGCATAGAAAGGTAACCTTCAGTCACTTCAAAGATCTGTAGAACATGGCATCTAAATAACTTAGGATTCTGTTGATGTGAGACAGGATTGCTTCCACAGCAAGAGGGCTTTTTTTTTTTTTAATATTTTTATTTATTATGTATACAGTGTTCTGTCTTCATATATACCTACTCGCCAGAGAGGGCACCAGATCTCATTACAGATGGTTGTGAGCCACCATGTGGTTGCTGGGAATTGAACTCAGGACCTCAGGAAGAGCACTCAGTGCCCTTAACCTCTGAGCCATCTCTCCAGCCCAGCAAGAGGGCTTTTTATGAGACCCTTTCTGGGGGTTGGAGAGATGGCTCAGCAGTTAAGAGCATTGATTGCTCTTCCAGAGGACCCAGGTTCAAGTCCCAGCACCCGCATGGCAGCTTACAGCTGTCTGTAGCTCCAGAGGATTGAATACCCTTATACAGACACACATGCAGGCAAAACACCAACGTACATAAAATAAAAGTAAATAATTAAAAAAAAGGGCGATGGTGGCGCACGCCTTTAATCCCAGCACTCGGGAGGCAGAGGCAGGCGGATCTCTGTGAGTTTGAGACCAGCCTGGTCTATAAAGGAACCTTTCTGGGGGAGGGGTGACGTGACGTCAGATCTGCTGGAACTAGAGTTCCAGATGGTTGTGATCTGCCGGTGGGTTCTGGGGGCAGTCCTCTGCAGTGCACACTTACCTGCTGAGCCATCTCCCAGACACATCCCCACACACCGTTTTTTAAAGATTTATTATTTTTATTCACTTAGTTTTTTGAGACAGGGCCGACATATTTCAGGCTGGCCTGGAGTTTGTCTTGGAGTGGAGGAAGTCCTCCTGCCTGCACCTCCTCAGTGCTGGGAGCACAGGCCACAGGTGTGTGCTTGCTTTATGCAGTGTGCAGGGCTGGGGAGTGAGCCTAAGGCTTGGTGCATGCTAATCAAGTGCTCTCACAACTCAATTACACCCTCAGATGTGTGTGTGTATGGGAGACTATCTCATGTAGCCCAGGTTACCCTTGAATTCACTATATAGCTGAGGATAATCTTGAATTACCACTGACCCTCCTACCTGCACCTGGCAAGTGCTGGGATCACCGTTGTGCACTACCCCACTTTACAAAGCTCTTATATTCCCTAGTTTACCTCGTTATAACAGACTTCCCTGTTAGGTCAGCTGACAGGAGAGGCTTGGTGCTTGCTGTAAGTCCTGAGCACTGTGCCTCAGTTCTCCCTTTCGCACTGTCCTGGACCCGCTGTTGTATGGGGTGCTACCTGTGGTTGTGACTGAGAAGGGCTGGAGTCTGTAGGATGAGGCCCCAGCATCCCAGACTTTCCTCATCTGCCCTCTTCCCACAGGCTGAGATCTTTCAGGCCCTGCAGCGACTGCACATGACCATCTACTCCCAGAGTGTCTCACCCTGTGGGAAGTTCCTGGCAGCTGGCAACAATTATGGGCAGATTGCCATCTTCAGGTACCCCCTCCCCCAATTCCCACCACACATGAGCCCGAGCACTGGTGCCTTCTGAGATTAATGCTCCCTGCTTGACTCTTGGCTCCTCCCTCCCCACTTTTCTTTCAGTTTGTCTGCTGCCTTGAGTTCAGAGGCCAAAGAAGAAAGCAAAAAACCCATGGTGACCTTCCACGGTGGGTATAGCTGTTGGGTGTGGTTCAGGAGACCTCAGGATAGAGATGGGGACACAGAGCTCATTAACATTTTCTGTGTCTCTTTAGCCCACGATGGGCCTGTCTATAGCATGGTCTCCACGGATCGGCATCTCCTTAGTGCTGGCGATGGGGAAGTGAAGGGCTGGCTTTGGGCGGAAATCCTCAAGAAGGTAAGTCTGGAGCCTGGGGACAGGCTGGGCGTCCCCGCCTGGGGAAGTTTGGGGCTCATTCAGTGTTTCCTCCTGTGTTTCTCTGAAGGGCTGTAAGGAACTGTGGCGTCGTCAGCCACCATACAGGTGAGCGGGGACCATGTTGACAGAGGGCATGTGAGGTCAGACACTACCTATGTGATTCTGATGCTTCTCCTCCTCCACCTAGGACCAGCCTGGAAGTACCTGAAATCAACGCCTTGCTGCTTGTCCCCAAGGTCTGAGTTCCTTGTGACCATTCTAGGCCAAACATTGCTCCTCTACACTTTCTCTGCCCTGACGGACACTGACTGCTTCCCCACAGGAGAATTCACTGATTCTAGCCGGGGGAGATTGCCAGCTGCACACTATGGACCTGGAAACTGGGACCTTCACAGTGAGTGAGGGTCTGCAGCCAGGGCAGGTCGGGGCCAAACGTTGTATGCTTCCTGGGTCTCCCTCTGAGCCTTCCCTTTTCCCTGCAGCGGGCCCTTCGGGGCCACACAGACTACATCCACTGCCTGGCACTGAGGGACCGCAGCCCTGAGGTGCTGTCTGGTGGTGAGGATGGAGCTGTGCGGCTTTGGGGTAAGGAAACGTCCACTTAGTAAGAAAGTAAGCAGTGGTGGCGCACACCTTTAACCCCAGCACTTGGGAGGCAGAGGCAGGAGCACCTCTGAGTTAGAGGCCAGCTTAGTGTACAGAGTGAGTTCCAGGTTAACCAGGGCTATGTAGAGACTCTGTCTCCAAAATAGATAGATAGATAGATAGATAGATAGATAGATAGATAGATAGATAGATAGATAGATAGATAGATAGATAGATAGATTGATTAAAAATAAAAAAGGATAAGTGGGGGTGGGGCGTTGTGGCTCATCAAGAGTCCTGGTGGTTTTATTTCCACACAGATCTCCGTATAGCCAAAGAGGTTCAGACCATTGAAGTCTATAAGCATGAGGTGAGGAGAGACCCACGCCCTTGTCTCCTTAATTCTCCATCCTCCAGTGTCCTCACCTCCTCTCTCCTTCCCAGGAGTGCTCGAGGCCCCACAATGGGCGCTGGATTGGATGTTTGGCTACTGACTCAGACTGGATGGTGAGCTGGGCAGTGTGGGGTTGAGTGGCCACTAAAGTCCATGACTCACAATGACTGGGGCCTGCTGCCTTTCTGCCTAGGTCTGTGGAGGCGGCCCAGCCCTCACCCTCTGGCACCTCAGGTCTTCCACGCCCACCACTGTCTTTCCCATTCGGGCACCGCAGAAGCATGTCACCTTCTACCAGGACCTGGTGAGACCCTCTGTCTTGATTCTGTCACCCTGTGCAGTGCCCCTGCTTAGACCTGACCCCTGAACTCCTCTTTGTCCTCCACAGATCCTGTCTGCTGGCCAGGGCTCTTGTGTCAACCACTGGCAGCTGAGTGGGGAGCTTAAGGCCCAGGTGCCTGCTTCTTCCCCAGGGCTGCTCAGCCTAAGCCTCAACCAGCAACCAGCAGCCCCAGAGTGCAAGGTGGGTCTTGGACTGGATGTGGGAATCTCAAGGGGCCTATGGGATGGGTGGGTCAGCCATGTCTTCCTGGCTTTTAGGTCCTGACTGCTTCAGGCAATAGCTGTCGAGTGGATGTCTTCACCAACCTGGGCTACCGCGCCTTCTCCATGTCTTTCTGACATCAGGATCCTCCGTCTCAGGAGCTGGAGTTCACTGTTTGTGTTTTGGGATGGGGGTTGCTTTATGTTAGCCCAGGCTGGCCTGGAACTCACTGTGGCTCAGCTTGGTCTCAGACCTTGAGCACTCCTATCTATTGCGGAAGTGCTGAGATTTGGGCCCGTGAGCCACTGAGCTCAGCTTTTTTTTTTTTTTTTCTGTCAAAATAAAGTTTTAGGCTTTTCTTGTTTGCATTTTCTACCCAAGAATGGAGACCAAGTAAATGTAGTGATGTATATATTACTCTGACTTATCCTTACATATCAATGCCCATCCCCAACCCTGTCACACAGATAGGGCAGGAGCTGAAGCTTAGAAAAGATAGACCTATATAGATTTCGAAAAATAAACAGCTCTGCCCTGCCACCCTGTGGGCCTCCTGCCTCAAAGCTGGCCCCTGCTCCCGAAGTGCCTCTGTCCACCTCTTGGGGGAAGGAAGACAATGGCCTTACTTGGAAGTTATTCAGGCCCAGTGGTTCCATTGGCTGGTAAGAGGAAAGTGAGCCCGAGGGCCAGAAAAGGTAGCCCTGCCGCCCAGCCCTCAGGTCCTTCGGAAGAGGTTGCTTAGAAAGCCTCCATTCTGCCCTGATCCCAGGCGCAATGAAAAGCCAGTCTTCGTGCGTCTTCGAGCTGCGGCAGCCTCACTGAGCTCCTTCTGGCGCTGGGAGCGCACCTGCTGTCCAATCACCACCTGCATGTCGTCCTGCAGGAGGCGGAGCAGGGTGGGTATAGGTTAGAGCAGGGGTGGGGTCAGGTCAGGATGCTGGTCCACCAGTCCTACTCGGGCCCCGCCCTCTCACCTGCCAAGCCTCAAGCTCCTGTGTCAGCGCCACCTTCTGGCGGATGGCTCGCAGCAGTTCCCGGGACAAAGAGTCCCGCTCTAGCGAGACACGATTGAGCTCCAGGGATAGCTTCAGGGCCCTAGGAGTGGAAGGGGTAGAGAATGTGGTCTGAGGGCACTGGGTATTCTTAGACCTGGTGAAAGTCGCGGAGGAGGGGGTACTAACACCAAAATTAAGGAAGGCTGAAGCTTCTGAGTTAAAATGGAAGTTCTACTCTTGTCAGGGCGGTGGAAACCGGGCCCAGAAAGGACCAGAGAACAAGCCCTGCCGAGGCAGTGGGTGAGATTGCCAGGCTCACTTGTTCACTGCTTCATCCCGGTCAGCGAGCGCACAGCTCAGGGCTTCCTCGGGATTGTCCTGCGCCCTCAGCTCCTTCTGTCGCTGCAGCTCATCCCGTAGGGTCTGTAGCTCTGTGCGGTGCAGGACGATCTGCAGGCCAGGAAAGAAGGTAGACTGGTACATGAATGAGCCTTGTAGGACAACGTTGCCCTCCCGACCTGTGCCTGCTCCATAAACACCGCAGGCAACTAAGTCTGCTTCGGACTGGGACGGGGGTAGGGTAAGCTTTCAACAGGAGGGATGAAGGGAGACGTTTAGGGAGTGGAGCCCAGAAGGCTTCCTGGAGGTACAGGCCAGCTCAGGAAGCAACTACAGGTTCACTGAGGAGTGGGCTAGACAGTGGAGATGAGAAGGAACGGGACATCGTGGGCCTTTGCATCCAGTACCATGCCCTCTCCAACCTCATCCTGCAGCCTGGCCACTTCCGCCTCCTTCTGCTCCAGAATCTCCACTGGGCTCAGGGATGCTCTCTTCTTGGGGGGTTCCAAGCTCTCTTCCTGAATTGAAGGCTGGGGACTGGATGCCTCTTGTATCTCCGGGGACAAGATAATCTATAGGCCAAAGGAATTAATCAGTACTGCGTGGAACTTCCGGGGAAAGGGGGGCAGAGTCTGCGCCCCTCATTGGTTATTCTAACCAATACGAGGCTGGTAAGCTGAAACTCACTTGGGCTCCTTCACACTCATTGACATTCTGGTCTTGGTCGCTGTCAAGACTGTGGGCAAGCTCGGTCTGCAGGGAGGCACCCGACACTTCGGCGTCCTGGAGTCGCGACTCCTCCTCCAGCTCTGAGACCCGCCGCTGCAACCTCCGCAGTGTGCTCAGCGCCTCGCCAGCCTCGAAGCGAGCGCGTTCCAGCTGCAGATCACACAGATCATTCCAACTGTCAGCATCAAACCTGCGCTCTGCGGTGGGCCCGCAGGGGGCGCCCGAGGGCCGAGCAATGCCAGGGCAGCACCCCGGTGAACTAGACCTGCCCCCTCTCCTGAATCACAGAACAACCTGGAATACACCTCCCCTCTGCAGGCACCAATTTCCTTACCTATAAAGCAGGGAGTGCCTGGCATCATCCTCTGCCCCAGGCCTGGCCCCATCAGGTCATCAGGTCCCCTCCCCTGCACAGCCTTACTCTAATTCACCAATTGCTTTGATCAAGCGTTTATTGATCTCTCCTGAGTCTCACCCTACCAGTCCTTTGAGGTTTACGATGCCACCCCATCTCACAAGTGGGGGAACTGATGAGGGTGGGGCTGAGAAGCCGATATCTGAACTCACGCTGCCCTCTCTTCTTACTCTCTCTCGTCAAGTCCACAGCCCCAGACCAGGTATTTCTGTCCTGAACTCTGACCTCAGTCCTCTTCCTGGCCTTCCATCTGCCAGGCTCTGATGCACTTTAAGAGTGCGTTTCCCTTGCTCAATACTCTTTCTTGGTTCTCATTTGCCCTTGAAGTCTGGTTGCTTCTGCTCTTGGTCATTTAACTGATCACATCTCCCAGAAAGTCCTGAGGCATTGTCAAGGGCCTAGCTGGCTGCCCCCATCCCACCCCTCTGATCACCTCTAGTTTGTGCTCTTTCCTCTCTCGACGAAGCAGCAGCAGCTCCTCGTGGGTGGTCTGTAGTCTGCTTTGGCCTTTGTCCACTTCTTCACGAAGGCCTCGGATCTGGGTCTCCAGGTCCTGCCGGCGATCCTGCAGCATCTGGTTCTGGGGACAGATGTCAAAGTTGAGGCAGAGGTGGGGGGCTGTCTGGCTAGTCTCAGAGAAATGCAGCTGCTACTACCTCCGCCTGCAGACTCTCCAGCCGAGTTCTCAGCTCTGCCCCTGCCAGGGCTTGAGTCTGACACTGTCCGCGAAGGGTGTCCAGCTCCCGCTGCAGTTCCTGCTCCGTCCTAGAGGCCTGGGGAGGGGGAACTGACAATGGAGCCATCCGATGGTCTGGGTTCAAGACTAACCCAGCCTGCCCACTAACTTGTCCCCTACTGAGGACATCAGGTCCCACCTCTCCAGGGGTCAGGGTCATTCTACCTGGGCCAGCTGCTGGCTGAGTCTGAGGTTTTGCTCGCTGAGTTCACTGAGGGCCCTTGCCCGTTCTCGGCCACTGTCCTGCTGCTCTGACCGCTGTTCCCCAAGCTGGGCCCGCAGGGCTTCCACGTCTCCCTCCAGCTCCACAGCTCTGGCCTCCCACTCAGCACCACGGGCTGCCAGTCCACGGCGGAGCTCATGATTCTCCTGCTGCAGCTTCTGTGGGGGAGGGGAAGGACAGGAAGTCACCTGAATTGGCACAAACTCAGAGTCCAGGATGGAGGGAGGATCACCCAGATCAAAAGAGGCCAGTCTGTCTAGGACAGACAAGAAAGCAAAAAAGGGGAGTCGGTAAGAGTAAATGACACCGAGAGAGCTAGAAAGAAGGTTCCAGGCCAGACAGGGGTGAGAGTCACAACTCTGATGCCCACTCACCTCCTGCTGCCGCCTGGGCTTCTGGACCCGAAGTCGTAAGCGGCGTTTTTGGCGCCTGAGCCTGGTAGAATTTAAGCCCCGGCCCATGGCCTCCCACTTCGCAGTCTCCAAGAACTTCTGTAGGCCGGCTTGGCCCAGCCCCTCTGCCCGGCTCCCCTCTAATTAATACTGGGCTGTCCCACTCAGAGCCCCACCCCTCTATCTGCCCTCCTCCAAACCTGTTGGACCAGCACACGGGGGGGGGGGGGGGGGGGGGGGGAGGGACGCGGGGGGGGGGGCACTGTCTCCAGACCTTCAAAGCAGGAAGGCACGGGATGGGCCAGGTGACTCTGACTACAGTTGTTACAATTATTAGCAGGTGTTCCAGCCAGGTGTTTAGCTGGTTCTCTGTCTGTATTACTTAATTTCACCCACTAGAGGGAGCATCAACATCCTTAGAGGAGGAAACAGAGTCTGAAGCTAGTTGTGCAGGCAATCTAGGTAGTCAAACTCTTACTCAATATTGCTAGAGCAACAAAGCCCTGGGCGGCTTCGGGATCCAATTTTCCTGCCCGGTGCTTAGCTCTGCTACTGTTATGTGGTTTTAACAAGTCTTAAAAAAAAACTCTTAAAAATTGATTCATGTATTTTATGTATATGAGTGCTCTATTTGCAATGCTTGCATGACAGTAGAGGGCACCAGATCTCATTACAGATGGTTGTGAGCCACCATGTGGTTGCTGGGAGTTGAACTCAGGACTTCCGGAAGAGCAGTCAGTGCTCTTAACCACTGAGTCATCTCTCCAGCCCCTCAACAAGTCTTTTTAATATCTGCAAGTCCCTTTAACATCTTCAAATCCCTTGTCCATCGATCCCTACTGTCATACATCAGCCCTATTCAATATTTCCTGCGTTCCTCTTAATCTAGGGTCTGGCTATTAAGAGTTGAGGGAGACCAGCAAGTTCACGTTCACTGCCAGAGGGTCCAGGTAAATGGGCACATGCCTGAATCAGGCAGTTTCAGAGAGGAACTCAGGGAAATGAGGAGGAGGAGCTGGGGGGGAGTCATTTAAGAAGGGACTGACATTGCATTGGCCCCTGCAAGACAAGGGAAGCCAATCAGAAAGAGGGTTGTAGTGGAACAGCAAGTGCTAGCCATGAGCAATGACACACATCTGTGCACACATCTGTAATCTCAGCATTTGGGAGACTGAGGTGGGAGGATGGTGAGTTCAAGGCCAGCCCTGAGCTGTGTAGCAAACCTGACTCCAAAGTGGGGCAGGCAGGAAAATGTAAAGGCCCTAAGGGAGCGGGACTGAGTCACTTAAGGAACTGAAAAAGACCCTGTCAGAAGAAAGATGTCGCTGACACCAGAGGACAGCAGTTCCAGGACTTTTAGGCCACAGGGAGGAATTTCAGTTTCATTTTGACTTCGATGGGAAAGCTGATACAGAAATAAAGTAATGGGGTTTTTAAAAAAAAAAATTTTTTTTTTGAGACAGAGTTTCTCTGTGTAACATCCTTAGCTGTCCTGTAATTTTGCCAGGCTAGCCTCGAACTCAGAGATC